CATATAATACAGATCCTGGGCAGAAATCACCACGCCCAATTGGCCGTACACTGACCATGACACACTCAGACCAAAGTCAATCCATTTGGCCGTATACTCACTGTCGGGTGCGCTGAACACCAGTACGTTCTTTGTGTGACAGTCCTGATGGACGACCCCATTGTCGTGCATATAAGCCATAGCTATACAACACACAATCATTACAGTTAATTAAAATGTGTTAAACTTACAAAACTAATAGTTTGAACACAATAGTACGTACCTGAGCTCAACTCACGCGTGAATTGCACCGTTAGATAATCGGTAAGCATACCCTTCATACCAAACTGGTACAAAGTACCCTGGTCGGCGTAGTCCATGATCAAAAACATGCGCCTATAGGTGACAATATCGCCGCACTCGGTGTCCGATACGTTGCGAAGTATTACTCGTTGGCCTAAATTAATGGCCACTCTATAGGAGACAATGTTTGGATGCCTGAGTGATCTGAGTGTACGCTTTTCGCACTCGTGGTAGAGATACCGTTCCCTTTCGCTATTGGGCGCCAACTCTACGTATTTGGCGGCAAACTCTGTACCCGTATTTACATCCAGGTGTCGGCCCTGTCTTTCACCAACATTAGAGATCTGGACAGCAATGATAAATATGTGCCATTAATTATACTTAATTATAACCATGTGTAAATAAACTTACCTGTTCATTGTATGTCCCCCGGAACACCTTGCTGAAAAAGCCCTCGCCTATCTCCGAGCCCCTATCAAACTGTATGGTAAAGCCTTTGCCCTCTAGTGTAGCCAAATCTCTGACCGTTTTGTCCCGTAATCCTCGCGCCGACTCAGCGCCGCTACTCAGGTATAGCTCACCCGATATGGTGTTGGCCTGACCTGCCATAGGGTATCCGTCGGGCATTTTCATATACAACGCGTCCAGTCGCCGGATAGGGGGCTCAATATACCGGTGACGGGGTGTTCTGCCGGTGGGCACATGTCGTGGCGGACCGGTTAGTGTCTCGGCTAGCGGTTCACCGCCTGTGGCTCCCAATACCTGTGCCTCTGGAGTGACCGGACTGTTTGGACGGCCGGGTGTGGACTCAGGTGTGACCGGACTGTTGAGCGCAGACGGCAGCCAATCATTGGGTGATTGTTCAAAAGGACTGTCACCCGGACTCCCATACGTCCAACTGTGTCGCCTACGGCCAGTGGTCGGTGGGGTCAGTAGGTTATCACCGATGGGCTGCTGTGGTGTCCCCTCTCGACGGTACCCATGTTTGTCGGACATGTTTAATAATTTGTTGTTTTTTTGCGATGAGTTTTATATTAATTTTACTGATTGTTGTAAATTACAATCGCTTTCAAGAAGTTTACAGAAACTTTCATTGAAAATACCTTTCAAATAATTAAAATACATTAAATTGCGATAAATTACAATTGCTTTCAAGAAGTTTACAGAAACTTTCATTGAAGATACCTTTCAAATAATAAAAATACATTAAAGTGTTATAAAATTACAATGGCTTTCAAAAAGTATACAGAAATTTTATAATTATTTACATTAAATGTTAAAAAAATTACAAAATTAGTGTTTCGCGAATCTAACACAATGTGACCATAAGTACGTTATTGTGAATTACGAAAAATTAGCCCTTTTTGTGTCATTTCGATAAAAAGACATTTTTGGCGAAATTGCAAAACAAATCATAACCTATGGTATAGTGAATGCAATTTTAAGGTTTATGTCATTTAAGCCCCTTTTGAGTAATTTCGACAAAAAGACATTTTTGGCGAAATTGCAAAACTGACCATAAAATTCAATGTTGTTAATTATGTACATAAATTGTATAATTGATAATTTAACATTGGTTTTAAAATAATTACAGCAATTTTACACTTAATTACAATCGCTTTTAAGAAGTTTAAAAAAACTTTCATTGAAAATACCTTTTAAACAATAAAAATACATTAAAATGTAATGTAATTACATTCAATAAAATGTCCCAACAAATGGCCTTATTTTATTAAAATTATTGTTATTTTCAAAGTAATCTTGCTTAAATGCGCTTAATTTTTTTTAACAACCATTGTCTTAAAAATAAATTGTTTTTAATCATCAAAATTAAAAATTAAAAAAATATATTCAATAAGTGGTTAACACAAAAAAACATCAGTTAATCACAAAACATGTCCGACAAGAATGAATGGGAGGGAAGAGCGCAACACACGGGTGCCGGGCCTCCGACCCCATCGAGTCCCGGCCAATGGCGACAACCACCACATACGCCGGGCACAGGTGTGCGTCAGTCAACCAGTAGTAGTTGGCTGCCGCCCACACCTATCACACCCGCACCACCGCAGTCACAGATACAAAGCTCCGGGTGGTATCAGGTAAACACCGGGGCATTGGATAGATATCCCGCTTCGGCCGCCCGACGGCTATTTACCGACACTCGACCCCAAATGGCCAGCACTTCAGAGGCTCAGCTATTATTGCCCGGTGCGGTGCCAACAGTGACACCAGTGACACAAGTGCCCGGTCCAGGCTATCCAGAACGGACCGGCAACACCCCTACCGGTTATATTATGCGCCCAATGGGTCGCCTCCAGCAAATGTACGAAGAGGTGCCTGCCTATGGCCACCCGCAGGTTAGCACACAGTCCGGTGACATGAATGTGAGCAGTGCTCGGGAGACAGGGGGCGGGGGTTGGCTGAGTCGACTGTTGCCCTGTACGCCCGACAGCTGGCTAAATGACAAAACTGTCAGAGATTTAGCTAAACTACGATCGCTGGGCTTTGATGTGCAAAAATTTGAGCGTGGTGATCAGTTAGGCGAGGGCGCTTATAGCAGAGTGTTTATGGGCGCCTATACAGGACAGGTATGTGCGCGTATTATTTGTAATAAGATTAGTTTTTAATTGATAATTGTTTGTTTAACGTTAGATTGGGAGCACAGCCGCCACCCGGAGCCGATACCTGGCGGGTGTAAAGCCTGGCCAGACATTTGCCGCCAAGTATGTACAGCTGACACACGACACCCAACCCATCGACCACTTGTGCCACATCGTCGAGAAGGGTATTATCAAAACACTCAAACATCCAAACATTGTTGCCTTCAAAGTGAACATCAATTTAGGCCAACGAGTGATACTCCGGCCGTTGGTGTCGGGCCAGCAGTTGCCCGATATTGTCTCTTATAGGCGCATGTTTTTGATCATGGAGTACGGCGACCAGGGTAGTTTGGATGCGTTTACCAATCAAGGTAAACTCAACGATCAGTTAACGGTGCAATTTACTGGCGAGTTGTGCTCAGGTATGTGTGATATTAATTACTTACAGTTATTTACATAAAATTTACAACTTATGTAATTTATTAATGCATTTTATATTTACTTTTAATTATAACTTTTTATTATCTGTAGCCATGGCTTACATGCACTACAACGGTGTCGCGCATCTGGACTGTCATATAAACAACATAATGGTGTTCAGCGCACCGGGCGGTCAGTTCACAGTGAAATACATCGATTTCGGTCTGAGCCTGTCGTGTCCGCTATACTCCAAGTTAGGCGTACAGGTGTGGGGCAGTGAGTGGCGCAAAATGGCCAAGATGGACATGTCGGATCTGGTCCATGTGTTGCATTACATGCTGGACAAGTGCCGTAGGAATCGTTTGAATACCGGCGCCGACCTGAGTCAGGTGAGGGCTGTGGCCCGCGAGATGTTGACCACAAAGGAGCACATGTTTGATGTGATCAAGAAATATACATTTTAGGCTATTTTATATTCGTTGCAGTGTTTTATGAATAAAATTTTAAATCTCTATTTATGTATAAAAATAATTAAAATAAAATTTTATTTAACAATCATAATAAATTAAAAATTGTCTAAATATTAAAATGGATATAATTAAAATTTAAACAATCAGTGTTTAAACACTAGTCAAACACACAGTCATGTCCGACACATATATATTCAATGAATGATTAACACAAAAAAAACATCAGTTAATCACAAGACATGTCCGACAAGAATGAATGGGAGGGAAGAGCGCAACACACGGGTGCCGGTCCTCCGACCCCATCGAGTCCCGGCCAATGGCAACAGTTATCGCACACACCGGGTGTTGGTGTGCGTCAATCAACCAATACTTGGCTGCCGCCCACACCTACCAGTCCCGCACTACAGCAGTTACAGATACATTGCTCCGGGTGGTATCAGGTAAATACCGGGGCAATAAATAGGTATCCCACGTCCGCCAGCCGACAGCTATTCACCGACACCCGGCTTCAAATAGCCAGCACTTCAGTGGCTCAGCAGTCATTGCCCGCTGCGGTGCCACCAGTGACACCAGCGCCCGGGCCTGGCTATCCAGAACGGACCGGTCGCACCCCTACCGGCTATATTCTGCGCCCGATGGGTCGCCTACTGAACATTTACGAAGAGGTGTCCGCCGAAGGCTACCCGCGGGTTAGCACACAGTCCGGTGACGTAAATGTGAGCAGTGTTCGGGAGACAAGGGGCGGGGTGGGCTGAGTCGACTGTTGCCCCGTACGGCTGATGGCCTGCTAAATGACAAAACGGTCAGAGATTTGGCTAAACTGCGGGCTCTGGGCTTTGATGTGAGCAAATTTGAGCGTGATGAGAAGTTAGGCGAGGGCTCCTATAGCAAGGTGTTTATGGGCGCCTATACAGGACAAGTATGTGCGAGTATTATTTGTAACAAGCTCAGTTTTTGCCAGCCGCCACTCGGAGCCGATACCTGGCGGGTGCAAAGCCGGGACAGATATTTGCCGCTAAGTATGTACAGCTGGCACACGACGCCCAACCCATCGACAACTTGTGCCACATCGTCGAGAAAGATATTATCCATTTTAAAACTCTCAAACATCCAAACATTGTGTCCTTCAGAGTGAACATCAATTGAGGCCAACGAGTTATACTCCAGCCGTCGGTGTCGGGCCACCAATTGCCCGATATTGTCTCCTATAGGCGCATGTTTTTGATCATGGAGTACGGCGACCAGGGTAGTTTGGATCATTTTGCATATCATCGTAAACTAAACGATCGGTTAACAGTGCAATTTACTGGCGAGTTGTGCTCAGGTACAGTATGTGCATAGTTTTTTACATGAGAAATAAATTTAGTAATTACTTATATTTACTTTTAATTAACTATTTATTATGTGTAGCCATGGCTTACATGCACTACAACGGTGTCGCGCATCTGGACTGTCATACAAACAACATAATGGTGTTCAGCGCACCGGGCGGTCAGTTCACAGTGAAATACATCGATTTCGGTCTGAGCCTGTCGTGTCCGCTATACGCCAAGTTGGGCGTACAGGTGTGGGGCAGTGAGTGGCGAAAAATGGCCATGATGAACATGTCGGAAATGGCCAAAGTGTTGCATTACATGCTGGACAAGTGCGGTAGAAGTAGGTTAAATACCGGCGCCGACCTGAGTCAGGTGAGGGCAATGGCCAGCGAACTGTTTACCACAAAAAAGCACATGTTTGATGTGATCAAGAGCTATACATTTTAGGCTATTTTATATTCGGTGTAGTGTATTATGAATAAATTATTTTGAATGTGCTTGTATGTGCTAGTGCTTAAGAAGCAATGCAACATTTTATTAAAACTGATTGTAATTACAAATAACTTTTGAAAATTATAACTGTTTTCAAATTAATTTTGCTGCAATGGACGCAATTTTATCAACAATCAAGGTTTTAAAAAATTATTTTCACTCATTAAACTAAAAAAGTTTTAAAAATTAATACAGTATTCATTCATTGGTTAACACAAAAAACATCAGTCAATCACAAGACATGTCCAACAGGAATGTGAATGAATGGGAGGGCAGAGCGCAACACACGGGTGCCGGGCCTCCGACCCCATCGAGTCCCGGCCAATGGCGACAGTTATCGCACACACCGGGTGTTAGTGTGCGTCAATCAACTAGTGATTGGCTGCCGCCCACACCTACCACACCGACACCACCGCCGTCACAGAGTACCAGGGCGTTGGATAGACAGCCCGGTTCCGCTGCCCGACAGCTATTTACCGACACCCGACCCCAAATGGCCACCACTTCAGTGGCTCAGCAATCATTGCCCACATTGACCGCATCGCTCACACCAGTGACTTCAGTGCCCGGTCCAGGCTATCCAGAACCGACCGGTCGCACCCCTACCGGCTATATTCTGCGCCCGATGGGTCGCCTACAAGACATGTACGAAGAGGTGTCCGCCGACGGCCACCCGCGGGTTAGCACACAGTCCGGTGACATGAATGTGAGCAGTGCTCGGGAGACAAGAGGCGGGGGTTGGCTGAGTCGACTGTTGCCCCGTACGGCTGAGGGCCGGCTAAATGACAAAACGGTCAGAGATTTGGCTAAACTGCGGGCCCTGGGCTTTGATGTGCACAAATTTGAGCATGGTGAAAAAGCAGGCGAGGGCGCCTATAGCAAGGTGTTTATGGGCGCCTATACGGGACAGGTATGTGCACATTATTATTTGTAGCAAGCTTAGTTTTGATTGATAATTGTTTGTTTACTGTTAGATTGGGAGCACAGCCGCCACCCGGAGTCGATACCTGGCGGGGGTAAAGTCGGGAGAGATATTTGCCGCCAAGTATGTACAGCTGGCACACGACGCCCAACCCCTCGATCACTTGTGCCACATCGTCGAGAAGGGTATCATAAAAACTCTCAAACATCCAAACATAGTGTCCTTCAGAGTGAACATCAATTTAGGTCAACGAGTGATACTCCGGCCGTTGGTGTCGGGCCACCAGTTGCCCGATATTGTCTCCTATAGGCGCATGTTTTTGATTATGGAGTACGGCGACCAGGGTAGTTTGGATGGTTTTACCAATCAGCGTAAACTAAACGATCAGTTAACGGTGCAATTCACTGGCGAGTTATGCTCAGGTATGTGTGCATTATTTGCGTAGAATTTAAATTATGTAATTTATTAATGTATTTAATATTTAATACTTTTAATTAACTATTTATTACGTGTAGCCATGGCTTACAACGGTGTCGCGCATCTGGACTGTCATGTAAACAACATAATGGTGTTCAGCGCACCGGGCGGTCAGTTTACAGTGAAATACATCGACTTCGGTCTGAGCCTGTCGTGTCCGCTATACGCCAAGTTGGGCGTACAGGTGTGGGGCAGTGAGTGGCGCAAAATGGCCAAGATGGACATGTCGGACCTGGTCAATGTGTTGCACTACATGCTGGACAAATGCGCTAAAAGTAGGTTAAATACCGGCGCCAACCTGAGTCAGGTGAGGGCTGTGGCCCGCGAGCTGTTGACCACAAAAAAGCACATGTTTGATGTAATCAAGAGCTATACATTTTAGGCTATTTTATATTCATTGTAACGTATTATGATTAAAATTTTTAACTGCAATTTATATACTGTATAAAGAATGTGGTTTATAAAATGTTACCTCTAAATCACAAATTTAATTAAAATAAATAAAATATAATTATGTAAAATAATCAAAATAAAATGTTGTATTAACAATTATAATAAATTAAAATTTTTAAAAATAATTAAATGCATAAAATTAATTCAAAACAATCAGTGTTTAAACACAAGTCAAACGCACAGACATGTCCGACACATATGGGAATCAACCGCAGACACCACTGCCCGGCACCGGGCGATGGGTGCAGACATCTCAGCACACAGGAGTTGTCACTACACAACCAACAAGAGCTTGGCTGCCGCCCACACCTACCACTCCGTCCACACCTGCAGGACATCTCGGTGTGGGTCAGCAGTTATTTTCCTACACCAGTCCTAGCGTTGGTTCGGCTCGATTATCGCCCACTCCCGGAGCTCAAACACCCGTCAGCGCTGTCACACCGACAAGTTTGCCATCTGATAGGCACCCGAGTTGGACAGGCAGTGAATCAGACACAAGTACTACACCATCGCTCCCACACTACCGACGACCACGAAGGGTGGCCTTACCCGGCGGTGTCGCACCGGTCATGACAGGACAACACCCGGTACCTGTATGGGCGGCCCCTACCCAATACTTACCGCCAATCAATCGTCTCGATCGCCTGTACGATATGGCGCCCCGCGGCTATGAGCCAACCCATGCCCTCCCGGATCGGAGCCTATCCGGTGAAGTGCACGTCAGTAGCGGCGATGAGTACAGCGGTTGGTTGGGAGGTCTGGTGCCCACCCGTACCGGTATGGCAGCGTTGAGGGCCAAGACTGAGCGCGATGTGGCCAAAGTACGTGAGTTGGGCTTTGATATTCATGTTGGCACAGGTAGGGAGATTGGCGAGGGAATGTTTAGCCAGGTATTTTCCGGCACTTACACCGCACAGGTATGTACCTTATAATAAAATACATGTCAACGTACATTGTATTTAATGCTAATTATTTATCATTATAACAGATAAGCGAATTTCAAAGCACTAGACAGGGCAAGCGTCTGACCCATGTACAGCCCGGGCAAAAGTTTGCCGCAAAATACGCTCAGTTGGCTTCCGATGTCAATCCGCTTGAGTACATGTGCCATATCATCGAGAAGGCTGTGATGAAAGCGCTGAGCCATCCAAACATTATGGCCTACAGAGTGGTCATTAATATTGGCCACCGAGTGATACTTCGCAATCTAGCGGGCAATCAATCGCCCGATCACATGGGCTATAGGCGGGTCTTTTTGATCATGGACTTTGCCGACCATGGCCATTTGCTCTACTTTGTCGACCAACACCGTAAACTCACCGATCAATTAACGGTGAGATTCACCGGCGAGTTGGGCTCAGGTATGTGTTACACTCAAAAACCTTAATTATGAACATTTAATAGTTTTAAAAATTAATTTTAAATGTAATATTAATTATATAATTATTTGTTGGGTAGCTTTGGGTTATATGCACGCCAATGGTGTGGCGCACAGCGACTTGCACTACAAAAACATACTGGTGTTTAGCGCACCGGGAGGTCAGTATACGGCGAAATTGACCGACTTTGGTCTGAGCGTATCGCCCGCCATATACGGCCAATTGGGCGTAACTGTGCCCCAAAGTGAGTTCAATCAGAAAGTAAGAGGCGATCTAATCGAGTTTAGGTCTGTTGTGGATTTCATGGCATTTACTTGCCGCAACAATCGGGGTAATGTGGGCGCCGACTTGAGCCAGGTGGAAAGTCTATCCAACGAGTTGTTCACACTGCAGGTGCCGTTATTGGATGCGCTCAAAAAGTATTCACATTTAAACCCATATTGTATCTAAGAGTGTGCTATGTATTTGATATGGGATATATTATCTAGTTATTTTAGTATTAGAGAAAAAGTATTAAAGTAAACAATTAAAAAAACATTTTACATCATTTATTATCAATTGTATTAATTTATAAAACAAAACAAATCCAGAAAAATTAATAAAACAAAAAATACAAACTTAAAATAAACTTTATTAACACAAAAAACAGATAATCGCGAGACATGTCCGGCCAATGGTCACACATATCTCATACACCGGGTGTTAGTGATCATGATCTAAAGTGTAGTCATTGTATATTTCTGGAGCACATCCCGGAGCGGTTGCCGGGCGTCAGACAACTCATTGACCAAGTCGTCGAGATGTGTCAAATCGATGCCATCGTTCATATAATTGTTGCTACACTTGTTTGTCATGTAATAAGTGATCTGGGCCAGTTTCTTGAAATTATCACGAGCCATATAATATAGATCTTGAGAAGAAATCCCAA